TCCACGTTATTTACGATGATTTATAATATATAATTAAGAATTAAACATTACAAAGTACTTAACGTACGTCAATGTGTAAAGATTCTTAAAACATTTGATAATGACTTGAAAAGGTAATGGACTTTCGATTTTGTTTACATTTAATCACTAAACTTTTTTTATTATTTATTTGCCACTGAACTATTGAAACTGTTCACATTTTACCTTATGACCGATAACAGTCGGTCATAAGGGTAAAATGTGAACAGTTTCAATAGTTCAGTGACAAATAAATAATGAAAAAAAGTTTAGTGACTAAATGTGAACAAAGTTGAAAGTTTGTTTCCCTCTCAAATTATCCTAATATTATACCCCGAAAAATATATAAAAAACGAAAAACGAAACCAATATTATATGTATAAGTTTTATGTTATAAAACTATGCAATATTGTATGTATAAAAATTATCCTAATATTATATGTATGAATTTTGTGTTATAAAATTATGCAACATATAAATTGACATACATTAAACCATATACGTTGTTTATAAAAGAATACATACATACATTGATACATTATATATGTTGTTATACTCCATGTATTGACTTACATCATAATAATATATTTACCATTAAAAATTGTAACAACGTGAATTTTCAAAACAATTTTTCATTTTAAAACATACTTTCATTCGTACGATAATCATCAAAACATAATGTGTCCACTGTAACATAACAAAACATGTCCCAAGATCTCATATACATAAATCCTCTCAGTGTGTACGAATCATGCCGGCGCCTTCCCGCGATCCTCGCTAGTACCTGAAACACATAACACAACAACTGTAAGCATAAATGCTTAGTGAGTTCCCCAAAATACCACATGCAACACATACACCACTCGAGGCTACAATACGACCCTCCGGTCGATGTGTCTCAGCGGGACCCTCCAGTCCCATAGCTCGTTGGACCCTCTGGTCCGGTCATAGCTCGTCGGACCCTTCGGTCCAGTCTGTGTCGTTGGACCCTTCGGTCCGGTCTATATCGTTGGGCCCTCCGGCCCGGTCTGTTCAACACATAGCATACATACAACACAATGCACATAACTCATATATATACACATAGCATACAAGACCCTCTGGTCTACACATAAATACCACTATAGGTAATGTATAGTGAGAAGACTCACCTCGTATGATGTCTAGTAACTCACGTGCTCGATATCCCTGAATCTCGAAACAACGACCTAGCCCCGCCTAATCACATAAAGTAATTATTTCAAATCATTAACGGCTCTCAAGGCTAGACTACATCCCTTTTCTACAATCCCACAGAAGGGTAAAAGACCATTTTACCCCTCCCTGACGCAAAGTCCAAATGTTGACCAAAACCCTAAAAGTCAACAAAAGTCAACTCTCCGGGTTACGCTGCGCGTACCAACCCTGTACGTTGGGCGTACCCGGCAACCTCACAGAATCGGGGAATGCAACCCCCTACGCCGCGCGTACTGGGATTACGCCCAGCGTAATTCCCAGTTTCAGACTTCTTAGCTTTTAGGGTCTTAATCAGTTAAAACTCACGTCCAACTTCTAGATCTGGCCTTTTCTAAACCTCTTAATCCATAAAGTTGGTGACTTTAAGCCTTTGCATGGCTGGACAAGTCACTAACACCCATAACATTCCATTTCCCAACTCTAGAAAGCTCATAACTCAAGCATGACTTCATAACAACGACCAAGATGGGAACTTTATGGATCTATAACTCATATATCATTGAAAAGGGACAGATCTAGGTCTATGGAGTCCTTTATGCTCATAAAGTCTCCACCTTTGGGACTTTAACCCTAGAAATGGTCCATGAAGCACAAATCAAAATAACAAGGAAAGCTTTGAGCTTTATACCTCCAAGTGAAGCTCTTCCCTCTATAGAACTCAGATCCAAGGCTTGCACTCCAACTTCTAGCCTTCACAAGAATCTCCTCTTCTTCCTTACTAACACACAAAGGCACTTTAGCTCCAAAAACACTCACACAAGCTTAGAACGAAGGTTAGCTCTCTTTTAGGGTTTCACTCACTCAAATGGTGGCTGAGGATAAGGCCATAACCTTCTTTATATAGGGCTCAAGTCTAAATTAGGGTTTTGCATCTGGGCAGGTTACGCCCAGCGTAACCTTGGTACGCCCAGCGTACCTCTAAGGGTCCGCGTCCATTTCAAGCGCATGAGTACGCGCAGCGTACTCTTGAGTACGCCCAACGTACTCATTTGCTACAACTTTTCACTCAAGGGCTAACTTTGACAATTTGACAAAAGAGAAGGGTTAAATAGCTGTACCTGAATTTCGGGATGTTACAAAAATGATATCGAAATTTTCATATTACACACAACATACATTTAGAAGTATTTTTAATATTATTATTCTTTTTAATTTTTCTTATGTAACTTGTGTTAACATATACATACATATAGTTGAAAACATACATACGGTCAAACACATACATACATAAATGGTCCATATTATATTACAGTTCCAAAATTAGCCCCGTATGAAAAATTCATTATAGGAATTCTCCATCGTTAATTAGAATTTTTTTTTTTCATTTTTAACGATTGTATTTTAAAAATAAAATTATATAGTATTAATTTGTCTGTGAGTTTAAAGCATCTTATTTTCATTAAAGAAGAAAAAACGATAAAGAACAATATAGTATTTTTACTCTAAACATACACAAAATAACTTTTCTTGATCAGTTTTGTACAGGAAACACACATAGTCAAATATAAACTGAAACTTCCCAACGAACTAACCAAAAACATCTGAGAGAGGAAAAGAAGTTGATTCTTTAATGAAACTAAGCATCAACATCAATTTTAAATCTATTATCAATAACTATTGGATTTACATTAAGGATGTCGTCTTCATAAAGATTTCAAGCTAACTTACATAAGCTCAAACATGAAGTTGAGCATCGATATTAAGATAGAATCAAAACACCCTATTGATAGCCAATAATGTCAGATTAGGTGTCTAAGGTCAAAACTAAATTGATATAACTTTATGAACTAAACACAAATTACTTTTTGGGTAGTCCTTAATAACTTGAAATAGTTAGGAACAACTTAAGGACCGTGATGAAATAATTCTTTTTTTATACCTTTTTTAGGGTATATTATTAGGATAATTTGAGAGGAAAAAGAACTTTCAACTTTGTTTACATTTAGTCACCAAATTTTTTTTCATTATCTATTTGTCACTGAACTATTGAAATTGTTCACATTTTACCCTTATGACCAGTTGTTACCGGTTATAAGAGTAAAATGTGAACAGTTTCAATAGTTCAGTGACAAATAGATAATGAGAAAATGTTTAGTGACTAAATGTGAACAAAGTCAAAAGTCCATTACTCTTTCAAGTCATTATCCCTAAGACATTTGTTTGAACTTTGAACTGTGCAGTGAATTTGTTTCTATATTTTAATATATAATTTATGGAATAACCGAAAACATGTGTATCTCAAGCAACAAAACTAATAATTGCAGAATATTAATTACACAATCGCACATATATATTATGACTAGGTGTGGGACCCATGCATTACATTAGTTTATTTTAAAGAAAAATTAAATATGAAAATTTAAATATTTGAGAAGTTTTAATTTATAAGAAAAGTAATAAAAATATTGAATTATTAAAATTAAAATGTTTTTTCTCTTATAAATTTAAATAAATAATTTAGACAAATAAACAAATGAAATTAATGAAGCTTTGATTTATGAATTTTGAAATTAGAAGGAAAGTTCATTAATAAAATTGATATGAATTTATTATTATATGTATTGGATTATTATTACATTTTAATATTATGTGGAATTTAATAAAATGAAAAAAAAAATCATAAAATGACATATGGAATAAAAACTAAATTAAAATAACCATAAAATGACATGTGACAAAATGAATGAGAGTATGACATGTGTCAAAAAAATCTTTATTTGTTAGGGTAGATAGAATAATTGTCCGCTTGCTATCTACCGCTCCCACTGCGGGGGCGAATTAGACAATGTAGGTATTATGCATAGATAGGCCTAGTGTTGTAAAACTCGCCGAGTTGGCAGATTACTCCTCCGAGTACTCGCTACTCGGCCCCTTACCGAAGCGAGTTGCAAAATCCCGAGTACTCCCCAACCGGCCCCTTACTGAACTAAGCAATGTTGTAAAACTCGGTCAACTCGGTGATTAATATGTATAATAGAATTAATGATTTATTATTTAACACACACATGTGATTATTACTACATATATATATCTTAAATTTTCAGTAATTATTCACGAAGTGAGACCATTATGTGTTTTCCAGTTTTTGTGTATTCACATGTATCTAATTTTCTTATATATTTCAATCGACTTATGATTTTAACTTATGATTTTGACATATATGATGTCCCTAAAAATATTTCTACTTGAATTATTGAAATCGAGTACTCCCCGAGTACTAGCTGCTCGGTAGTCGGCCGAGCAGGTACCGAGTAACGAGTTCTACAATCGTGGATAGGCCCGATATTCATATTTATGTACGCTTAGGCTCTGTTTTGGATTTGGATGAATGAGATATATGGAAAATATTCCACATTAGCATGATTACTTAATTTCTATAAATATATATATGATAACAAAAATATGAAATAAAGAACCTTAAGTCCTTAACAATATCGTCATATATTTAGTAATACTACCAAAATCTCATTAATTTCCTTTCTTTATTATAGTCCTCCTTTTAAACCTATATGAATGGAACATAGCACATATGAAGGATTCCATTAACCCAACTGGCATGTACCTTTCGCGTGAAAAACTAAGGCCATTTAACCTTTACACACATGGTGACCATTGTATAGTTCTTTACAAAGTAAGAGTCGATCGTTTTGAAGAATAACTGTTCTATAAATTTAAGCCGAAATTTTCTATTCATTTCCACTTCTCCCTATACCCCTTCCCACCCTTTGCAAACATAAACATAATCCATGGATAGAGATCAAGCAGAGATGCAAAGTGTAGGTTTCTTTGGCCTCTTCAAAGAATCTGTAAAAACCATCTTCTCATGGAAGAAAATCTTCGCTCAGATCACCGTAACTTTCATCCTACCACTCTCTTTCATTTTCCTGGCTCATATCATCATTGCTGACGTACTTAATCTGCGTATCGAGCGCTATGAAAATAGGGACAATCAGTACTACTATCATCGTAGGGTATCATCTGAATGGATCGGCTATTGGGTTTTCAAGTTTGTCTATTTGACCTTCCTCTTCCTCTTTTCTCTCCTCTCAACTGCTGCAATCGTTTACACCATAGCCACCGTGTATACCGGAGGTGATGTGACATTCAACAAAGTCATGAAAATTGTCCCTAGGGTTTGGAAGAGACTTGCTTTAACTTTCTTATGGACTTATTTTGGTTTTTTTATCTACAACGTTGTGTCGGGAGTAGTACTTCTCATCTGGGCAACCACCATTTCGGAAACCACGTTTGGTTCGATCCTGTTTTGGGTGTTGTTTTCTGTATACGCCATCGGGTTTATTTATATTACAGCGATATGGCAGCTTGCTAGTGTGGTTACTGTTTTAGAAAGCTCGTATGGACTGAAAGCAATGATGAAAGGCAATAGTCTTATTAAAGGGAAGAGGTGGTTATCATGGTTTGTGTTCTTCGTGTTATATTGCATCTTTGCAGGGATCTTGATCTTGTTCTACGTGTTTGTATGGAACTTCACATTTTTAACGCTAATCGTGGGTCTAGTGTGCCTCTTTTTACTTATGAACATGTTTCTGCTTGGCTATGTCGCCCAAACGCTGCTTTATCTTATTTGCAAGTCGTATCATCGTGAACCCATCGATAAGGTAGGATTGTCGACTCAACTTGGAGGTTATCTAAGCCAGGTCGAGCCTGTGTTCAAGGCCAACAAGGATGTTGAGCTAGGGCAGCCTCCTCGTCAACCTCAAGTTTGATTGCTTTCTTTGGTCTCATGGTTTCCATATGTTGGTCTCACTTTTCTTTTTCTGTTATGAACAGTAATGAAAAAAGTATTTGTCGGCGTTGAATTATCATCTTATATAAATTATATATAATGAATTTTAATTTCTAAAAGATTGTATTATGTGGTATATGTATGTACAAATTATATATGAATATACGGCATATATAACTCCTCTTTCATTTCTCTAATCCTGAAAATTAAAGACCCGTTGTCTTTGAAGGACTATAGGCAGATTTTCTTATTAAGAAGTCACAACATGATCATTGCCATGGTATAGCGGAAAGACCCGAAGGGTGACAATACAACAAAGAGAGATGAACTAATCGTGTTTGTGGAATCAATACAACAAAGAAATGCTTCAAACGGTGCCAAGAATCGGCTTTGTATTTCTTTACTATTGAAAGCTTATATGGGGAGGAAATGAGAGATGATAAGCCTAAAAATAAAATTGGAATCAACGTGATAATCTATCACAAAACGTGCCCTTAATTAGTTTTTGGGTCATTTTAAGTTCCCTTTTATTTATACACTTAAAAGTTAAAACTAGGAATGTAATCAATCAGAAAATTATTTGAGCCTCTTGGTGGAAAGATTGTTTGAATTCGTTTATTTAATAAACGAGCAAAAAATAGGTTTTTCCATTCATTTCCCTTCGTTAGCCTTCTGTATCAGTTCATTTACGCTATAAAATTATTTGGATGTAATGAAGTCAAACCATGAAACTTTTCAAGTTTGCGATTTAGAGAAGACAAAAGATATAGATGATGATATATAGACTTTACTTTTGAAATGCTTCTAGACTTTGGGATGTTTTGAATTGTGGAACTTGTATATACCAATTTTGTTTATGTGCATTTCTTTGTTTGGATGTTTATATATGAATATGTTCGTTCATTTATATTTATTTATCTTCATTTAGCTTCTTAACGAATGAACACGGACAACATAATCTTTAAACGAAAAAACACAAACAAAAAAGTTTGTTTAGTTATGTGTTCGTGTTCATTTGTTTGTTTAGTAAACTTAAACTAGCAAACACAAACAACTTTTTTTTTGGTTGAGTTCGTTTGTAATCCTATTTAAAATCTCTAGACTATGAATGTATCCGCTTGGAACCTATAATTCTTCACCTTTACGAGTATGCTAAGTCCACCCATACTTCCAAATCATAAATGGAGTTTTTGGTAAAAATATGATAGTTTTGAGAATGATTGGTAGAAACATGGCAGTTTTCTTTTTTCGTTGTAGAAATGGGTCTATTTGCCTGGGGCTCCAACAGTTATGTTCAGTTTCTTACTTTTAGAATTGAATAAACATTGAATGTTACATTTTTCGTCCTCTGAGTTACATCATTATTTTTTGTTAGCTTTTATTAACAAAAACTTTAGTGTTTACTCCTATTATTAAAAATATATAATCAAATTCTAATGAATATTTTCAATAACTTATTATAGAACTCATAAATACCTATGAATAAATTTCAGTATTTAATATATTACATTTATTTGATCGATTTTTATTATAATTAATAAACATATGAATATTTTTGTTATTTTATATTTTTGTTATTTTTTGAAAACTCCAAAATATCTATTCATGATAGCATACCTCCAAAAGCCTATGAAAAGTCATTGTGAGTGTTCATGAAAACTCAAAGAAAGCAAATGCTTAATTGTCTAATCAATTCATTTTTTGTATTATAAATTTCTCTTTTTATCATCAGTTTTTTTCATCCATTGTGAAGTGGTTTCATAAGCCAAATGACTCCTCAAATGTTGCAACATTCAAGTATATTTTTTGGGCTTTTGGACCTGCTATTGATGTTTTTCGTCTATGCCAACCTGTTATTTATGTTAATGGTTGTCATTTGAAGGGTTCATATAAGGGGAAATTGCTTGTTGCTATCACAAAAGATGCTCACAATAATATATTACATGTTTCATATGCTATTGTCGATGAAGAGTCATCACACATTTGGTGTTGGTTCTTTTACCAACTCAGACATTTTGTTGCTCAAGATAGACAATTATGTGTACTTTCGGATAGGCACCTAGAAATAATCCATGCAATGGAAAATCTACAAGAATGGAAAGAGCCATTAGCATACCGTCGATTCTGTCTTCGACACATTAGAAGTAATTTTATGAAAAGATACAAGAACTTTAGTTTTAAAAAGTTATGTTGGACTATTGGGAGCGCCACACAGAAAAAGAAGTTTGTTACAAATATGAGAGAAGTTAAAAAAACTCAAACTTGAAGCTTGGCAGTATTTAAAACAAATCAATAAAAGTCATTGGTGTCTTTTATATGATGAAAATAGTAGATGGAGTATCTTGACAACAAATATCTCTGAGAGTATGAATAGTGTGTTGCGGGGAGCAAGACATCTACCGATTAGGGCGTGTATTGACCTTACATTCAACAGAACCGTTTAAATTTTTAGAAAGTATAATAATGTTGCAATGAATTGCAATACACCTCTAACCGAGTTTGATCACAATGAAGGTGTCTACAAAATTGTTACAAAGTTACGAATAAATGGCACCGGAGGAAATGCGTATAATGTCCATTATTTTCAACAAACATGCACATGTGGAAAATGGCAAATGGAAAGATTCTCGTGTTCTCATGCTTTTTCAGTTTGTCGGTATAAAGGGGATAACCCTCTTTCTATTGTGAATAATGTGTACACTACAATGATGTATAAACATCAGTATAATTATGCTTTTCTACCACTTTCTCATGTTGAATATTGGTTAGAGTCAGATTGGAAGATTCAAACATATTACTCAAAACTCTCTCTTCATCAAGGTCGGAGACGTTCAAACCGTTTTCATAATGAGATGGACATTCGCCACCCAACGAACCTGGTAAATGTGGGCTATGCCACCAACCTGGTCATAATCAATAAAATTGTTCAAATTCTCAACCAAGATACAATGTCATGTGAAGCATGTACTTTTATTAATTTATGTTTAAATGTGTGCTTAATTTGTATTATTATTTAATGTTTATTTAGTAATGTAATGTCATATTTAAATGCTTTTGTAATTTTGTAACAATATAATATATTCAATATTGGTGTTTATTTGAAGATGTTGATTAGATTTATTTAAAAATGTAATTTCCTAAAAATAATACATGAACATATTCTTAATTAAAGTAATTAATGTATAATATATAATTTGAATAAAGTAATTAATGTATAATATATAATAAGGTTAAAAGGTAGAGTTTTTAATAAAAAAAGCTATATAAAAAAATAATGATATAAGCTAAAGGACCAAAAATGTAAAATCTAAATTTTGTTTAATTCTAAAGACCAGTGGGGGCCAAGCAAAAATACCTACCCTATTTCTACCCATCAATTTCAAAAGTATCCTATTTTTACCAAAAACTCTTCATAAATGTATTACCAAGTGACAACTTAAACTCTCTACCGCCCTTGTAATTGATAATGCATAAAAACTAACATTTTGACTTTATATACCACATACATGAATTATTTCAACAAACAAAAGCAAAAACAAAAGATGTTGAGATTTATTGGTTGTGCACGGTCCACACACATCTCAAGGTTAAATGTGTGTGACGAAACTACATCGATAAAAATGAGATCTATGTTGTTTTTCATTTTTGCAATTCATATCCCTAAATTTGATTTGAACTAAAACCGGGACTTGGTTTACACTAATATGGTCTCCATGAAAGGTTCTGATACTAGTATTAGTCATAAAGATTATGACAACAACGGAAGAAAACAGTTACCCGATATTGATGCACCATCCAACAAGACCATCAATAGGATCATATAAGAAAACAACTATACGAGGTTTAATCGAATTAGTTACTTTGATATGCACCCTAGTTGATGCAATGTTGATTCTCCAAATAAGCTACGAGTCAACATATGGACACACATATAAAAGATTCGTATGCAAGGATTGAGTGCTAGGTCAACAAACTAATCACCTCATTTATGTTTTGGGATCAATCAAATCATTCACTATTTGTCCTAATTGTATATTCTAAGATGACCTTGACAATACCATCAAGTTGTGATATTTATGCAATGCTCTAAAAAAATTGTCAGGAGACTAAAAGTGCAATAGAGTTAAATTTATGAATGATCAAACATTATATAAAAAAATATTGAACTATATTCCCAACTTATGACAAGCAAATGGACTATTTTTGTAATTTGAACAAAAAATTATAACTACTACTATTTTTTTTTGTCCTTTCTCTTTCGACGATTTTCTTTTTCTCCACCGAGAAGCCTGAAAAGAACAACACAAAAGTGCCACCCAATCCCAATGTCACCGAATAAATTATCAGTCGCCTTTGTATATAAACGTTCGTGATTCAGAGGAGATTCCTTCTCGTTTCTGCACTTTTGCTTTCAATCATCGCAAACTCGATCAAGTTTACATTTAATATTCGATGTATTGATAATTTTTGTTGTAAATCTTAGTTACAATACCCTTTAGAATTGTTCATCTTTCTAGATCGGGAAATTTGGTTCGCAATTATCTGTTTTTCTTTCTCCTCATTGATTCTGCTAGCCATTAATGTTGTTTTTATGCGTTTAATTTGGGGTTGTGAAACATTGTGGCATCGATTGTTTTCTAGAGTTCGAGACTGATTCTAGTTTATCAATGGATCCGTCTGCGAGTGCGGATTTTGATTATTTGTTCAAGTTGTTGTTAATTGGGGATTCAGGAGTTGGTAAAAGTTCTCTTCTATTGAGTTTCACTTCCGCAAATGCCATTGAAGATCTTTCTCCTACCATTGGTAAACCATTCGATCACATTTATTTACATGTAATTTCCTAAATTAGATCTGTTGTTTGCAACTGTTGATTTCTTAGGAACATGTTTCTCTGTATATAGCATAACATGATTTTACCAAAGTCACATTTTGTTTACATGAACTGCGAAGCTCAAAAGCTAAAAGATTTACATGTCTCAATTTTAGTAACCATTAACATGATATAATTCTGTGACCTTTCTTTTTCTCTAATCAGGAACTTCCCTTCCTAGATCATCTTGTTATCTTTATCATGTATAAATTCCAATTTTTCTGGATAATTTAACCAAAGATTGTGACTGATATCATCTTGTTATCTTTAACACAACATGTTTCTTTTTTTCTTCTGAAGAATTGTTTTTAATTATTACAGGGGTTGATTTTAAGGTAAAATTTGTCACCATAGATGGGAAGAAGTTAAAGCTTGCTATATGGGATACTGGTAATTGTAAAAGTTTATTAATAACTAATTATTTAAAATTAAAATACTTAGAAAGTTATCTAATAACTTATTTTACAGCTGGGCAGGAAAGATTCAGAACTTTAACGAGTTCATATTACAGAGGAGCCCAAGGAGTTATTATGGGTATGTGATGAATTATATGTTTTTGCATACACTTGTTATACAATGATTTTTCTATAAACAACTCCATTTTGTTCATATAACTAATTGTTTCATGTGACATATACAAGCAGTTTATGATGTAACACGTCGAGAAACATTCACAAATTTATCCGATATATGGGCCAAAGAAATTGATATGCACTCAACAAATCAAGATTGCATCAAGATGCTTGTTGGAAATAAAGTTGATAAGGTAAACATTATACAATACCAAGTTATGCTTGTCATCTGTTATCTGTTATCTGTCACCTGTTAACTAAGTAGTTTTCCTTTGTAGGAAAGTGATAGGGTTGTCACAAAAAAAGAGGGAATCGAGTTTGCAAGGGAATACGGATGCCTTTTTATAGAGTGTAGTGCAAAAACTCGGGTGAATGTGGAGCAGTGTTTTGAGGAGCTTGTTTTAAAGGTATGCCTAAAACTTATTATATCTAACTTATTTTGTTCGTAAAAGTGTGATTCATTATTGTTGTAATGGATCAAAATTATTAAGGTCAGTGTGAATCATTAAGTATGTTTATAGTAATATTTTTTTTACTATTTAAATGCATATCTTTAAATGTGCAGATTATGGATACACCAAGTCTGATTGCTGAGGGATCAGCTACTATGAAGAAAAACATATTCAGACAGAAGCCTCCTGTTTCAGATGCATCAACCAGTGGTTGTTGCTGAAGTTCATATGTGTTTCTTTCTGTTTTTCTAATTTTTAGTACTTTTCATAATTGTGTAGCCATTAATTCGTTCATAAAGGAAGTGTAAATTTGATCTTGATGGGTTTCTTGTTTTTGTTTCTATGTTTACTTAAAATATCATTTTAATGTTACATCAATTTGTCTTCTCCATATTATGAACGTATGTATATATATATTTTTTAACATCTAATAGCAATGTGCTCATGTTTACTTACCGATAATAGCAATGTACTTTATTTGTTACAAATTGCTATTATCGGTAAATAGATGTAACATGCAATATTTCATACTTATTTTTTAATTTAAAAAGCAAACAAAAACACATGAGAGATCAAATCTATTTATTTGAACAATATAATCAAATATGAAAAATGTTAATATAAATCTAAGACACCATAACATTTGAATCCTATAGAATTACATCACTTGAAAAAAAACCCAAATTCCTTCTTCCTACCATGATCATTCAGCACAAACTATTGGATTCTGAAAAGCCCCAAAATAAAGTCTTCAAAGAGTAAGGCTCGGAAATGGTCAACCCTTCATCTGTGATCTTTGCTATCTGTCATTTCAAAATTTATATCGTTAGAGAAAGCAATATAAGACAATGTAGTTTATTTTTACCCATAATAGCAATGCATTTACATTTCTTTACCAATAATTATGGGTAAAAAATAAAATGCATTAGCCATATTTAAAGATTCATACCTGAATCTTGTTGACAACTGACCTATCACGATATAGAAGGTTGCGCATGCATTTTTCCAATAATTTGACACCCTCCTCAAAACTCAAATCATCCCTCCATTCCTCACGAAGAATTGGCCTTGCAAGATGATTACCAAAACCAGTGGCAACATGATTGTCTTCAAAGTGTACACCAATCATGCTAACCTGCACACAAGTAATAAATATCATCAAAATTAAGTAGTCTTCCATTATGAACCACTTTCTAGGGCTATTTTCGACAAGGATGAGGAAGCCATTAACATCTTTTTGCGTAGACAATAGTGAATCATTGCCCCCACCTTTTTGAGTGGGAGAAAAAATTGTCACTTTTGTCCCTATTGACATCAGTCCCCGTCACAGTCTTTATCCCACCTTTTGGGTTAGGACAAAAAATTATACATTTTGTCTCATAAACATCAATCACACCTTTTTAGTTAGGACAGAAAATTGCAACTTCTGTCCTATTGACATCAATCGTTTCAATCACAGTCTTTATCCCACCTTTTTGGTTAGGACAAAAAATTGTACATTTTATCCCATAGACATTAGTACCACCTTTTTTGTTAGGACAAAAAATTGCAACTTTTGTTGTATTGACATCAATTGTTCCACAGTCTTTATTTCACTTTTTTGGTTAAGACAAAAAATTGTACATTTTATCTTATAGACATTAGTCCCACCTTTTTTGTTAGGATAAAAAATTGTACATTTTGTCCCATAGACATTAGTATCACCTTTTTGGTTAGGACAAAAAATTGCAACTTTTGTCCTATTGACATCAATTGTTCCATAGCTTTTATTTCACTTTTTTTACTTTTTTGGTTAGGACAAAAAATTGTACATTTTGTCTCATAGACATCAGTCCCACGTTTTTTGTTAAGACAAAAAATTGCAACTTTTGTCCTATTGACATCAGTCGTTCCACAGTCTTTATCTCACCTTTTTGGTTAGGACAAAAAATTATACATTTTGTCTCATAGACATCAGTCACACCTTTTTAGTTAGGACAAGAAATTGCAACTTTTGTCCTATTGACATAAGTCGTTCCACAGTCTTTATCTCGTATTTTTAGTTTGGATAAAAAATTGCAATTTTTGTTCCATTGAAATTAGTTTTAGTCGCATCATAGTCATTGTCTCTGTCCCACCACCTTATGGTCTCTGTTCCACCATTCTTGTTAGAACAAAAAATTACAATTTTTGTTTCATTAACATTAGTCAAAGTTTCTCTCCCAATTTTTGGTTAGGACAAAAACTTCCAATATTTTGTCTCATTGACATAGTGTCAATGGTCTTTATCCCACCTTTTTTGTTAAGACAAAAAAAAATAACAATTTTTGTCTCATTCACATTAGTCACAGTTTCTCTCTCACATTGTTCCACTTTTTTAGGTGGTACAAAAAAGGTGCAACTTTTGTCCCTTTGACACAAGTCCCGGTCTCCATACCACCTTTTTACATGGGACAAAAAACTGCTATTAACATCAATCACAATCTCTGTCCAATACATGTCATAAGAAATAACAAGAACAAAAACATGATCCAAGAACTTACAGAGCCAATATACTTGTGTCCATTCTTTACTCCACCAATTACTAGTGAATTCCATAACGGGTCAAATTTGTTGCGACGATTGTACATAATCCGGGTCAAATAATTGTGGACCTCTTTAGCACCAAGTTAATTTCCATCAACCCACATATTGTCATGCAAACTGTATTCCAAAATAAATTATAACAAAAGTAAAAACTATTAAACAAACATAAAATAACAATAAAAAAAGATACTTACATAAGTTCATCAAGGTAACGAAGAATCTCTTGGAAATCACTGATTTCTCCACTTGCACCAATGAGAGAATGTTTCCCCACTTGCTTCATTCTCTCCACACTCTTATAACGTATAGTGGAACCATAAGATCCTGTGAACTACCAAAAGTCAATGAAATTAATAGCAAAAAGTCAAAGTTGAATAAAATTCGAGTATGAAACTCAAACCTCCCATGTCAGCAGCCATGAGAATACCATCTTTGTATTTGATCCCAATCACAGATGTACCTGTAACATATGGATACCTGTTTCAGAAGAAAAACACACAATCAATTTATAACATTATGTTGAAGTCATAAGTAAAACGTTCTGTATTTTGCACTAAAAGATTTGAATAATACAGTAGAGATATAGAGAGGTTTCATTTTGGGAAGAAACCATATCTGCAAACACTACACCAGTACAGACCATGAGAAAAACTATAGAAGAAAGTAATGGTAAATAAAGAATATCGGAAATAAGTAACGTAATATCAAAGTAAAGGAAGTTAATCCATAGTGTGTAACAGAAAATCGAAACTCAAGAAGGTGAAACACGTAATCTGATTCCCAATTTAAAAATTAGAGGATGCATGACAGAAAAAGTTTGAAGATCGATCGGCGTATAATTGATCAAGTATATCAGATACAATGCGGGATTCGAGTTGTGTAAAAATTAGAGGACACATGTCAGTCAATTTCCGCTCATATCTCGAGAAACTTGGCACAAGAACATGCAGAAATTCATAAACAATGATGAACGAAGCTATACTGAAGAAGATATGAGATACAATGAGGGATTCTACGTGTTGAAGGGGGAGAAAGAGAGAGAGATACCTTGTGTTGCGTTACAATGGGGGATACGAGCTGTTGATCTGAGAAAACAAAATAAGAAGTGTGCAGGTTTAATTCCTCTCCAAGAAAGGTATACGGGAGATCATGGCATGACACTTTTTCAAACACTTTTTTTTTTTTTCTTTCAGTCTAATTATGCTCAATATGCTCAATTTCCATGACCAAAAACACTTCACAATACAATTGGGAAAAAACCGTATCGACTGAAAATTACTATTGTTTAACCATAACCAAAACAACAACCACTAGCTACATGATTACATAACCATCCATTAACATCATCCGTTCTCATAAGTTTCATAAGAATTTTCTAATAAAGTAACATAAGTCCGCAACCTTTACATCATAAAGGTTTTAAACAAGTACCCATTACAACAGAGTATGATCAATTTAAACCATAACTAATTAACTATACATTGCTTGACATTTCTTCAACCAATACCATGCATGAACCCAATCCTCTGGTATACCTATATCCGTATATACTATCTAGTCTCATATTCCAAATCATTCTTACTCATGCTTGCATGACATGCATGTTATTATCCTATTTTTTGCAACTACAAGTCCAGAGGTCCTTTCCTTATATGGACAATATAATGATCCATCCATAGACTAGTAGTAGTAACCTATATGAATATGGCTATACTTATCCCTCATCAAACAAACAATCTAGTGTACTGGGTTGCCTCCTTTTAAATGTTTTTAAAAATTTCAGGGGTTGTGGTACATTTATGCACAAAATAGAAAAACAATGTATTAGATGAATGTGAGGACTTTTAAATCCTTAAGAAAATAGTGTGTGATGAGTAGCTATACTCATTCTATCCAAAAATTAATCAAGTATGACAAAAAAAAAGTGTGTTTCGAAATATAAAAGTAAATATATATTAGTAAAACTGACAAGTCGATTTGATCTCAAACTGATAGGTCAGCCCCAAGCTAACCAAGCTAGTCTCAAACTATCACATCCAGGAAGTTGAAGTTGACCAACACAATTGATCTAGTCGGTCTTAAATTTGGAAGTCCGATTTCGTTATTCTATACTAATATGTCAATTTTGAAAGTGTTTTTCCATTACATCCTTATGGTCCAAAATCATGTTTAGGGGCCATGCCTAGGATGTCATAAACTTGTGTGGGGCCTCGTTGCCAAACGAGATTATTTTTAATAAAACTTTGGGATGGAGTGAGTTTAACCCTTGTTTATTTTTCATTGGGAGTGGAGATTTCCGGGCGGGAGAGGCTTCCATTTAGCCATGTTGATATCCCTAACTATGACCCTTAATCCTACAATACATATCGACCCTCTTGACCCCACTATGCGTCATGGTCGGAACTCGTCTTATAACAGTGTATATTCCGCACCACCAGACTTATATTAGATCACAAGTTATGTTCCCTTTGGCACTCTTATAAAGATCTAATTACACTCAATGACGAGTCTAAAACAGAAACCTATGTGGTTCTCTATTTAAATGAAACAGATATACCAAAATAAAATAGTAAAAAATACTAGTAGTTAGTCAGGTCCTATAAGCAAAATAAATAAATAAGTAAAAATCTTACAGTTATACCTGACGAGGTCTAATATTTTGAAATATTTTCACAATTGTATTGTTACTAATACTATCTAGAACACATTTTTCAATATATGACAATAAACTATCACTCAAAAATTGATCAATCATTTTCTCAATATATAACATTAAAATATTACTCAAAAACTGTATTGGGTTATTTCTTAACGGGTAATTAAGTATTTGTGCTATTGGAAAATAAAAGCTTGATTTTAAAAGTCCGGTTTTATATTAATGTTTTTGTCAAACAAAATAAGGTATATTACTCAAAAAAATTTAGGTAGGTCACAAATAAAGTCCGGATTTATATCCCTTTTATATATTACTTGTAACAAAAAAAATTTAGGTGGGTCAAGTGACCCACTTGACACTATATATACTTACTTGTGAGTTGTGATTACACTAAATGATCACGTGACACTAAAATCACCGATTCATATGACGGATACAAATCATGTTACATAAGACCAATGTGCAACTTTATTTATTCTTAGAGCTAATAATCACAATGATCCGAAATGTTGAAAGGAATTAGATGCAAAACAAACGTGGTAGATGGGTTTAAACTTTAAAGTTGCTTACAACGTGATAAATATTATATTAACCTACTTTAAAAAAAAATTATCCCTTTTTTCTTAAATATGTTGCTCAAACTTTCTAATTTTATCTCTTAGACCATGTATACAAGTAATGAATTATTCACCTCATCCTGACACATCCGTTGTTATTTATTACATGTACTGATGCTTACCATTTACTTCACATGAACCCATGAAATAACAGGACCAGGACCAGGACCACTTCTTGAATACTCTATTTGTGGGGTGTCGATGTCGGGTGGGTGGGTCTATGGGTCAAGAAGTGGGCTCTTAAGTCCAAACCCAGAACCAAAAATAACCCACCAAGCAACCCCATCGTCAAAAGCAAGTCATGGCCATTTCGAAAAGTTGTTAAAGACGCCACACAAGCAGTAGTGAATCATTAGCACCACATATCAACCGTTAAAATACTGTTTCCCTCCCGCGAAAAAGCTTTCGGAAAATGAAAAAATATAGCCTTTTTCCCTTTAGATCTTTCTTTATTCGATGTTCAGAACTGGAAAGTCATGTCTTTTCCACTTGCTCCTACGCTCTCCCTCATCTTTTTTACACATTCTCTTCTGTAGATCATAATTGATCTGCCACAATCGAACCCTGGAATTCAGGGATCGGCTTTTGGGGGTGATCTGAAGAATTCTTTTGTACTCGGATAACCTGAAAGTTTATTGTCTAATGGTGAAAGAATCGGAGTATTATGATGTTCTTGGTGTTAGCCCACTTGCATCTGATGACGATATTCGAAAAGCTTACTATCTGAAGGTCTCTCTCATACCCTTTCTCTTTCTTTTTTTTAGATAATTACAATCTCATCAATATCTCGACACTTTCAAATCACAAGTTGAATGTTTTTGTTATCTAAACTTGATTTGGTGTTGCTGATTCAAAAAGATCGGAAGTTTCTATGTGTCTCTTTAGTTCAATTAAGATGCATATTATGTGCTTGTTGTAATTCCACAAAGGAACTATCTTTATTGGAAGTTAATGTGATTTGGCACACTAGGGAATAATTATATTTCGTGTAAATGGGACCTTTTTATTGATACAAGATCGTGGTTTGAAGCTATTTATGACTCATATCATGCTGATCATATATAATCCCAAACTTCCACCCATTTTAAAAGTTCAAATTTTATAATTGTTTATTTTCCTGTGAATAAATTAGTCTTTGTGACTATTAACTATAAGGTTGTTTGTGGAACAGGCACGCCAAGTTCATCCTGATAAGAATCCAGATGATCCTCAAGCTGCTGAAAGATTTCAGGCAAGTATTTAATCCTTCATTAGAAAATAAAAGGGATTTTGAACATTTTAATATAAAATCAGAAAATATTTAATGCTCTCATTATATAAAGTTGTAGGAGAATATGTTTTATGGACTATGATAGCGCATTTCTTGAAAAGAACTTGTAGTGCATAGAAAATCTTGTCATTATGATTGTACAATGTGATGAAAAAATCTTGTTCATAATCAGGTACTTGGTGAAGCTTATCAGGTTTTGAGTGATCCTGTGAAAAGAGATGCATATGATCAAAATGGGAAGTGCTCCATATCTAAGTAAGCATTTCCACTTTGCTTTCAATTTTAGTTTTCCAAAAATAAGTTCATGTACATAGACAAAAAAAAAACCCACCAAGGGTTCTCCAAAAGTCATGTGTTCTTACATGTGTCGTCATTTCATAGGGACACTATGCTCGATTCCACTGCTGTTTTTGCTGTTCTTTTTGGAAGTGAATTATTTGAAGACTACATAGGACATCTAGCTGTAGCAACAATGGCTTCTGCTGAATTAGTCAGTGAAAGTGATAACCCAGAAATATTGCATCAAAGATTGAAGGCAAATATTTCAAAGTTCAATTCTTTCATTCATACAAGAATTGAATGATTCTTTAATTTCATATTTCAACTAGAATCTTGTGAATTTATATCATGTAGAGTATACAAAGGGAAAGAGAAGAAAAACTTGCTAGATCACTCAAAAACTTCATCCACCCATATGTTCATGGTGATAAAGAAGAGTTTTTACATCTTGCTGAATCTGAGGCAGATCGACTTTCACAAGCAGGTAACTTTACAAATTCATATGTTTGATTCATGGATACATGTATTTGTTTGTATATATAATATAGGAATATATATATATATATATATATATATATATATATATATATATATTGGATATATATCATTTTTGACAGCTTTTGGAGCAAATATCTTGCATACAATTGGATACATATATGAAAGACAGGCTGCACAAGAGCTTGGAAAGAAAGCCATTTACCTTGGGGTACCATTTATGGCTGAATGGGTAAGAAACAAAGGGCATTTCTGGAAATCACAAATTACTGCAGCAAAAGGTAACTATAAAGGGTTAATTGCAAGAAAAAAAAATGAAAGTATAATTGATGTAATGGAAATAAATGGAAGTAGGATGATGTAATCTAGAAATAGATGAATGTAGATTGCTATTTTCTTGTAACTAGTTCTAAAAAAATGGTTAGGAGCTATAGAAATTATCTTATTTTGGTGAAAAATGTTTGTAGGTGCTTTTCAGTTGTTGCAACTTCAAGAAGACATGCGTCGCCAATTTAAAATGGATGGAAGTCGGCCCACAAATGACGTGGAATCACATCTAAGATCCAGCAAGGATACACTAATGAACTCACTATGGAAGTTGAATGTAGTTGACATTGAAGTTACCCTTTTACATGTTTGTCAAATGGTGAATCTTTTTTGGTCTCATTCGTTTATTTTCTAAAACTTCAAAAGTTTTTTGAAGTTAGGTTATTAACGTTTTGATTTAATTCATAGGTTCTCCATGAAAATAATGCCAAGAAAGAGGAACTTAAAGCTCGTGCTGTGGCTCTAAAACTCTTAGGCAAAATATTTCAGGTGGGATTTGTATGTTTTCTCACTACTAGAAAATCAGACTAAATCCGTCGCTAAAGATAGACCATTAGCGACGGATTTTGTCGCTAAGTGCTCCATTTTCTAGTAGTGTCTAAACTATAAACTATTGAATTGTATTTAGATAAGTTGTTATTTAGAAACAAATTTTAATAGTGCTATCTTGTATTTAGAGAGAAAAACTTTCACAAAGTGTTGGAACATCGAAGAACAAAATAGCTTCAGATATTCATGATGATACAAGCAGCTCTGATGATAGCAGTGATGATGATGATGATTCACCAAGAACACTCAACTATCGAGTGCCATTAATCACACAGGTTTGTTTTTTTCACAAATATTTGATTCAAAGGACAGATAGTTTTTTCTAGTGTGTTTATTAAAGGAAACTTGTTATATGATGCATCCAATTGTTGAAAATCATGAATCTGTCGCTAAATGGACAATTAGCGACGGACTAGCGATGGAATCCAAATCTGATTTGTTTGTTTGTTGAATATAATGACAGGGAATTGGTAGACTATTCAGGTGCCTGTGTAATCCAGCATATGATGTGGATGATGATGATGAGATTGTTTACAAAGGCAACAAATGATCGATGAGTGGTGTCGATAATGTTATTAGCAACGGTTGTTGAAGATTGGTCATGTAAAGTCCAAAAAGAAAGAAAAGGATGCAAAGATCTTGGATATAGAGGTGCAATCGGTTGATTAAATTGAATATTGTGTGTTATTTTTCCTTATACAACATTGATAATTGAACATATGTGAAATTGCTCGCTCTAACCTTTTTGTAAGGAAAAAAATACTTTGCGGTCTCTTTCTAGTGATCTACGATTCATTGGGTATACATTATTAAGAATAAAGAGTGTTTGTGGATCTTGTTTCTTGATGGAAGGTGTAGGATTGTAAATTGAGGTGTTGTTTGTTTTTCTAAAAAAATACTTCTAATCATTTTTTGTTGTGCCACTCAAAACTTGGCATTTCATAGTTGTTTGTTTTTTAAAATATTTTTTACTTCAAGATTATTGTCTGTCATCCACAGAACCCTCATCTTCAAACATCTTCTCACCTTACTTTAAATCAAATATAATTTATATTTAACAAAAACAGATGAATAAATATAATTTAACCACCACAAAATTAAATATAATTTAAATATTAAACAAAATGGTTAACAACCACAAAATTAAATATAATTTAAATGAATAAATATAATATGTAATATATGGTCTAGGACGTATTCTTAGAACAATTATTGTAATTTGAAATTTGCATATATTTAGATAATTATTTAATACAGAAAATTCTAAAATGAAGGAGAGATAAAAAAGATATAACTAAACTTCAACATAGATTTGAATATGGCGGGACATGAATACACATTAGAGTTATTGGAACGTAACTTCTACAATGTGTTCAAGTACTACGTATGTTCCATAAATCTTTTGTCCGACTATGTTGTCATTTTATAGTAAATTACTCGTTAAAGGATAGCAAACATATATCGGTTGAGGAAAACATGATACTGCAGCAGACCATGAATATAAGACTCGGTTACGGAATGAAAATGTTGAGCAGTAATGCAAAATATAAAATTGTAAAATCAGTTTATTTAAATTTTAGTTTTTTACAGCAGCCTACAGACGTTATAAAACGTACAGAAGACTTATTATTACAGGTTGCAGCCATTTGTTCCACCTTTTTCTGCTACAGAGGGTTGTAGATGTGGTCCACAGACTTCATGTGTTTTTGCTTCAAAAAAACAAATGGCATCTGAATTTGTATACTTTCATATTATGAAGATTAATTTTAGTATTTTCTACTAATAGATGTGTTCATTGTTTATCTTTGTTCTGTTTTTGAAATTTGATACTACGAAGCATGTGTAGGAAATAATTATAACATATTAATTACTAACAATGTATTCTTACTATTACCTCTCTCCTAGTGCTCAGCTCTCAAGGACTTGAAGAGGCAAAAAGCCATGGATGAAAAGTTTAAAGCTCTTATTTCAAACAATATGTGGGTACTTGTAATGACCAAAACATATACGATAAAGTTAGAACACCGGATTTATAGTGGAAAAACGCAAAATGGGGAAAAACAACGTTTGACAAAACACTCTGTTTTAAACAAAAAGTCTTGTTTGGCACTACAAGCTTTAAGGATTTAATTTAAACAAAACGCATCAAATCTAAAAGCTATCTCACGTAGCGTTTATTAAAACGCTACCACCTAGTTTTGCCGAACACGCCCTATATGATCGATGATATTGAAATGTTTATAATGGTTTGTTTTGGTGTAGAAACAGGAATAAAAAGAGATAACACAAAATAGATATTATGCCAAATACAATAAACCCATAACTACATTAGGTATTCTCAGCATATTCAACACTTTTCTCGAGATCCCTCGAGTTCAACATTATGCAAACAATTTGAATTATTTTTAACGGAAGTTACATGTCGATGGTTCCTTTGCTCGATACAAAGCACGCTTGTTGCCAATGGTAAGAACCAATGCCCTAACTTAGACTGTGATGAGTGACTACACCATTCTGTCTCACACCATTTTACTGACTTATACACAGCTAGATGTTAAGAATGTCTTCTTCTAGAGACACTTCCACGAGTCTGTATTTATGCACCAGCTACTAGGATTTTGTAATAGTCGGTTTTCATATCAGGTATTCCATCTATGTTGGTTCTATATAGCCTCATACAGGCTCCTTGTACATGATTTCAACATTTTGTTTTGTTGCTAGCGTTGGTTGTTCTCACAGTCGCTCAAACTCTTCTATCTTTCTCTCTCTTTGTTTACCGTCGGCAGGGGTGGCGCTACTATGTAGCCTGGGATACCCCTTAAATTTTCCCGTCGAATATAAATTTCGTGAATTTTTTTCGGAAATCCGTCACGAGGCAATCCATCACAAAGTCTAATAATTGTAAATTTAGTGTAAATTCTTTGGTTTAGTGACAATTTTGTGTCAGAAACTTCCTTCGGAAATGAGTTTTTTTTTTCTAGTAGTGCAACCTCTAGAATATTTGTGCAACCCCTGGTTTTTCTTTTTGGATCTGTCACCGACCATCGAAGGTCTTCAACTACTTGCATGTTATTTTATGTTGATGATATCGTTTTGATAACTTTTTCCATGACTTTACTTCTTCCTATGAATTTCTCCAAGACCGATCAATGCGACCTCAATTTCTTTCTTAGCGTCTCCGCTGCTACTTGATATGGTGTTGGAATCTTTCTCAGCAAGACATAGTATCGTAACGCCCGTAGATCCGGGCTAGTCAATTTAGAGATAATAGGGGTCGAAAACGACTTTTCGACAAAATATTATTTAGAATAAATAATCTTAACCAAGTTGTAGAATATGTCTCAAGGGTTCCGTACATATAAAGAACGCCGAAATCCGAGTTATAACGAAGAAGTTATGGTCCGTCGAAGTTTACGGCAAAACCGGCACGGCACCGGGAAGATGTAAATAGTGAATTTACGATAGAGCGAATTTTAGTTTTAGCGATCTAAACGAATGTCGTAGAATACGTTAAACCGAGAGCGTCCATAAAAAGAACGCCCAAATCTGACTTCGTATGAGGAAGTTATGATTTTTCGAAGTTTCGGCTTAGTAGTGTACAACCCGAAGTTCGAATATTAGATCGAGCGGTTTTTAGCCAACACAACCTAAACGAGAATCGAAGATCTAGTTAATAGTAGCGTAACAATAAAAAAAGTCGGACGAAAACGGATGTCGGATGAAGAAGTTATGGATTGTTAACGGACCAACCCTGTCCCGGCCTGTTAAAAATATAACTTTTAAAATAAAGTCAAAATTAGCCGACGAAGTCTAAACGAAAGTTGTAGAGCACGTTCCCGCCTACGCGTGGATATAAAGAACGTCGAAAACGGAGCTCGTATGCGAAAGTTATGATTTTTAGAAGTCGAGTGTGCGATTTGCGAAGCTGGTGAAGGAAGTGCTGACGTGACACATTTCCAGCCGTCGATTGCTGATCACAGAACACACTTCGGATTCAGACACCTGGCCCTCAGTACGCCCCGCGTCCGAAGCTCGGTACGCCCAGCGTACAGCTGTATCCCTCGGTCCACAAGCAGCCGCGTAGCTCCGGTCCTTATCCAACACGTGGCTCGTACGAAGCTCGCTGGCACTCTTATCCGGACTACGCCCAGCGTACTTCGGAGTTACGCCCCGCGTAATCCGAGGTCTGGGCACTATAAATAGAGGCCGAGGCTGCCATCTTTCTCACACCATTTCTCCCATCTTTCTCTCACTAGTTTCTCTCTCTAGCCTACCCTAACCCCCTAAAAGCCTAGGTAAACCCCCTAGCACCCGAAGGAAGCCCCGAGGCTCCCGGAGTCCCGAGAAAAAGGGTCTTTCGGTTTGGAAACGCTGCTCCAAGCGAAGCCCGGTTTTCTATAAAACCCGCTGTAAGTGAGCTACGCCTACGCTATTTTTAATATAGCTTTTATTTAATTATAGTAACATTATTAGGAACTTAAAATAATTATTTGGGATATTATTATGAGTTATATAGAGTGTTGTTTAACGCTTATATAATAGTAATAATAGCTAGACTATTAAATAGTCACGGTTAACGTTAGACTAAACCCTAGTGGTATTGATACTAGGTTTTGTCAAGGGAAAATTGTTCTGAGATAACGAAGTGTTGTCCGAGTACCGAGTCACCACCTTACCAAGTGAGTGCATAGTTACTTTCATCTTACACATAGATATGAAGTATTTAATATAAATTACATGCTACGTGTGCATATTGTCTGTATACTTGCCGTCTATGCTGGGTGAAAGATTTTTATACATGTTTTAAATGATTTAAACTGTATATGTATTTTATATCTACAAAATGTGTTGGGTAAAACATGGGTAGATGAAATAGTTGTTGTGTGACAAAAATAAAATGATTCGAGGTGATATAGACCACGAGATAAGGGTGAGAGGTGAACCATGAGATAAGACTTTTACCCAAGTGTTGGCCCCGTCATCTAGCAGAGTATAGATGACAATCACGGACTATTCTAGATAGTCCAGTGGAACACTAGCAGGCTCGCAACCTGTAGGTGTACTTGAACTGTGTATTCACCAGCTGTACTCTAAAAACCCATTGACACGTATTGCGAGTGGATTCTCGGAAACGATACTGTCAATAAACGAGATAACTATGGCGACTATGAGACTTAGTGCCTAAACCCTGGCGACTATGCGACGTAGTGCCCGTTGTATAAACCCTGGCGACTATGAGACTTAGTGTCTATATCATGGCGACTATGCGACTTAGTGCCTCTAGAGTAAACCCTGACAACGATGGATTTCGTGCCCATTCCTTAGGATGATCCTTAGGAATGAATGAACGAGGAATAGTTGATTCTTAAGGTAGATCCTTAAGAGTAAAGAAGATAATGGGGATAGGTAATTGGGTTGATTGTTTGATGTTTAAACATAATAATTATATTATTGTGGGTTGAAAACCCTATGTACTCACCAGGTTTCCCAACCTGACCCACTCCAGCTTATTTCTATCACAGGTGTCAATATGAAGTTACATTACACTGAGAGATTTAAAAGAGATGTAGATCACTAGTGTAAATGAATGTAAGTTTTGTTTATGCTTATGTTTCTGTATTGACGATGACATCCCAAATGTTTTAAAAATGAATAAAAATACATTTCTTCGGAAATGCTTTGATAACGTATTTATCATGTTTTACTGGGAACAAATTCCGCAACATTTTTATTAAAAGAAGTACTCTGATTTTTATAAAGCATAAACAAAATCGGTCTTTTCTGGCCGTGAAAATGGGGATGTCACAAGTACGCCACTGTTCAGCATGTCAAGATGCTTAATTGCAAACCATGCCATACACCTATTGACACATTTTTCTAAATTGGACGGTTTTATCCCTCTATCATCGATACTACTAAGTATCAAGTCTTGTCTGTGCTTTTCAGTATCTCACATTCACCACACTAGATCTTACCAACACAGTCTAGCAAATATGTTTCTTCATACATGACCCATGGAGGCCCAATATGGTGTGTTAAAGTGCATTGTATGGTAATGATCGATGAACCCTTCCTATGACCTTCAAATTCATGCATCCACATCCTCGTATCTTATTTTCCGCTAAGATGTAGACTAGGACATGTTCCCATCACCAAACTATCCACTTCAAGTTACTATGTATTCCTATGCAGAAATCTTCTTTCTTGATCTTCTTAACTACGCGCCGTTATCTCCCGGTCTAGGGCTAACACCGAGTATCGCGGTGTCGCCAACATTGTAGCTGAAACGTCTTGGATATACGAACTTCTTCAAAACCTTCTTTCTTCCCACACCAAAGCTACTATTCTATATTGTGATAACATTAGTGATGTATACAAGTCTTCCGATCTGGTCCAACAAAATTGAAACCAATCATACTAAGATAAACATTCATTTTGTCTTAGATCGAGTTGTGTCGGGACAATTTCAAGTTTTGCATGTCCCATTCAGCTTAGAGTATGCAGTTTTCTTCACCAAAGGATTTCGTTATATTTTACGAATTTCGATCTAGTTTGAATTTACGAATTTCGATCTAGTTTGAACGTTCGGTCCATGTCTTCCAATTAAATTGCACGAATAGACACCAACCCAGTCCTTGGAATGGTGTTATAATGAGATGGTCATCCTCTTTGATTGGGTTTGGCGCGCCACAGCTAGCTGATAAGCTAGCTTATTTTTCGAACTTTTTTAAATTGTCATGTTTGACAAGCCAAAAAATAGCTAATAAGCTAGCTTTTTAAAAAGCTACTTTGAGAAACTTTTTAAGCGCTTTTTAAAATTTTCCCATATATACTTTTATTTAGTTACAAAAAACGTATTCTTCTAAATGTCATTTTATGTCATTTTATATCTTGCAGCTAGCTTATCCGTTAGTTTTTACCAAACGTTATTTTTTGTCAGTTAGCTTATAAGCTAGCAGCTAGTTTTTCAGTTATCAATTAGCTTTTCAGCTACCAGATAGTTTTTCAGCTAGTCTGCCAAATATAGACTAGTTTTTCTGCTAGTCTGCCAAATATAGACTTTGTGAGAATATCCATCAACCTTACCAAGAAGCCTTACTTTTAATATTTTTAATGTGTAAAAATGATCTGGTAGGATTTGCGATATTTGATTTTGGTGGCGTAAATGAGATTAGATAGTATGTATGGGATTTGGGATTTGGTGCCAACGGGGTTTCTTGAATATGGGTATTGGGTGGTCTATATAGGATTTGTTTGCCAATGAGGTTTTCTTGAATAATATTGCAAGTTACTATCAAGTTGTTATGCATAAATTTAAAAAATAAATTGTATTAACAAATTGCACGGAAGTTGTATGTCATTGTTGCATCCACTCACTTGTAGTCTTGAATCCATCAATTATAAAAGTAAAAAAAATATTAATAAAAAAGAAAAACATAACAAAGCTTCACACACTGATCCAATAATTTCCCTCTTGATATCAATATCCAAACGTTAACAAGTCCAAAAACTGCGAAATCAAAACACAACCAACTTATATAACATGATTTCCATCCCAAAACAACAAGAAACAACCCATAGAAGCCTAGCCCATGATAAAGTCAAAACCCGATTCAAGCCCAACAAGTCTTAAGCCCGACCCGTTTCTAATACGCATGATGAGCAAGTGTGTTGAGTGCACGATGTGCTTGAAAAGCACAAGCACAATGAACAGAAGTTAAATTCAAACACCCACTTATAATAAGTGAATGCCTACCGGGACATGTATGAAGTGCCGGAAAAGAATCACATAATGCCTGAACAGCCGGTGGAGTCAACGCCGTGCATTGACTTATGTTCAGATTCATAAGCCCTTCATCTTCTTCATACCTTCTGCTTTTAACAGACTCCCATACTTCATCTTCATTCTTCACTCGACTCTGTGCCAATGCATACATAGCTTTATCCGTAATGTTTTGACAATAGTAAAGACCCAATGATCTCAGATGTAGACAATTGTTCGCAAGTGCTATCACACTCTCATCTGTAATCAGTAATCACAAACTTATCATCATATCAAATTATCAATCAATGCTAAATGATGTCGAAAACGTTTATGAAACAAACACAAAGTGTCAAAGCACCTGTTATAAGAACACAACCACATAAATCAAGTGCACGTAGATCATGACACCCGTAAGCTAAACTCATTACTCCACTATCACTAACTTCCTCACACCACCCAAGATTCAACGACTCAATTTCACCACAGTTGTATCCAATAGCCTGCACACATGATCATGATCATGATCAAATCACGCATTTGATCCGTTTAAAGTTGGAAAGAACAATAAAGTTTCGTTCTTTATTTCTTACCTTCAAGGCTTTATCGGATGCAGCTTTGACACACCCACAAAGATTCAATATTTTCAATTTTCTGCAATACCCAGTGAGATACGCAAGAGCGATGTCACTGAATGAAGAGCATCCGCTGATGTTGAGCTTGATAAGGTTACGACAACCATGAGCTAAAGCGTATAAAGATCGATCGGAAAGTTTAAAGCTTTTGCTGAGATCGACTTCCTGCAAGTCGTGACAGTTATTTGCGATGGTTTCGACGGCGTAATCAACCAGCTGTGGCTTATCTTGCCGGAGGATCAACCCCCTTAAGTTTTTAAACTTGGGAGCAATGGAAAGCACTAAGTTGTTCATGTTGTTTTTGCACCTGTAAAAAGAAGCACAGAGTGAGGAAAAGTGGTGAAATTTATGAACAGAAGCCATGGAAGGAAGAAAGATACCAAGAGAATGAAATACGAGAAAGTCCCGAACAGATAGCGTATCTCCATCCAGTACAAACAGAAGAAGCGACGATGACAGTCCGATCATCTAACAAAGAAACAATCCTCAGCAAAAGCTCCATCGGAATGTCATTCCAGTCGGTGATAATCGCCCCACCTCCGACCACCTCCAGTTCATCGTCTTTCATGGTCGACATTTAGCGATTTTCCAACTAATTACACTACCACCAGAAGACTAGGGTTATATAGAGACAAAATAGCAGTAATTAACAGCAAGAAACAACAGTTTAGATATTAAAATCTTGAATACCCAGATGAAATAAAGAAAGAACAGGTGTAGAGAAACCGAAAATTGAAGTCGATCACTTGGGAGAATGATCGGAAACGAGAGATGGGTTGCTGAATCGAAACCGGAGACGAGGGTATTTCGTTTCGCCGATTGACTGCTTCGATCAGAGAGAAAAGATGATCGGAAATGAGAGATTAACGCAGTTCAATGAAATTTTAGGGGTAAAATAGTAGAGCTATAAATGTCATCATATATGTAGTGGTTGTAGTGAGGAATGTGTGTACTCGTTTGTGTGTTTTGACAGGGGGTTTTGTTAATCGGCCATCAGTGGTGCAGCAAAAAAGGTTTTATAGAGAGAAAAGAAGAGCGACACGTATGAATCCACGTGTAAGGACGGAAGATTGTGGGTGTTGGTTGTGGTCCAATTGTAGATGTTTACATTACATTGGTACACCCAAGTCCTTCGTCTTTGTTGTAACCGTCAAGGTTAAAATTTACTTTGTTTGGTTTTGGTACAAATCAATGTTTATCCTATTAGCTCAATCAATTGGTGATTGGATTTAAATTTTGAAAGGAAAAGAAATCTCTCAAATGAGTACTGATTAAAATAGTCACTCATGATTTGTATATTTAGAACTAGGTTATAACCGTATCCTATACGGATTTGCTAAGTAAATATTTTAATAAGTGTAATAATAATTAACTAGGTGGGGAACCCCGCGAGATGCGACATGTCTTTAGCAAAATTGAAATATGAACAAAATAACTTTACATAGGGGAAGTTTAGTCACAAATTAATAATGGCAAAACAATAAATAAGCAGCTTTAAATATATACTTTATGTTGTTATGCATTGCAAGTTTGTACCTTCATTCTCAATCATCTTTGATCTCTTTTATAATCATTAAAAAACATCTTTGATCTCTTTTAGAAATGCTACATTTTCCTACTTGTATAATCAATAAAGACAAAGTTAATAATGCAAGATTATAAGTTTAAACTAATAAAAGATGAGCTAAAGTGCCTTCATCAATTTCTTGTATTCGGACCCCTATTTTTTGTATTTCTGTTCCGTCCTGACCAGTAATAAATCCACTTTGGTTGTCGCTTCTTTATCATTCGATTCATTTTGAGAGACATCATAGCAGTGACCCGTATAGAACTGTAAACCTAAAGAAAAAATACAAATCAATATACAGATTAACCGAAAAAGAAATGAAATCACAATATCTGGACATCTAGAAAAAAACAAAAATCAATTTACAAATAGACATGGTTTACCTTCTGAAGTGAAAGTCCCGAAGATAAAATCAGAAAATCTGGAGGAGGAAATCTGATATCAAGATATCTCTACGAATTTTTTAAAAAAAAAAAACAAAAAAAAAGTCAAAAAAATGGCATATATTTACACCTGCAGAATCAACCAAATGAATTATAATTTCTTTAATTCAAGTCAAAGATTAATTTTACAAAAAAGAACCAACTGCATAACACTAACACCATAAAACATGGCTATTCTTTCTTATGGCTTTTCAAAGAATTGAATGTTGTGAAAAAAGAAAGAATGGGTGACACTATTAATCACCTAGTATCCACTAAACATAAGTCAACCAATTTAATCTATGACTACAAAAGAATGTTTTAAATAATAAAATTCACAAACCCCAAATCTGTTGGCTGAATTTCAACTTTACATAGTGAAACTCAATGACCCTTTTGTATGTATAAATACATGCCAATATGTCATTTGCTCTCAAATTTGTAATTGCTTGTGACTCGATCAAAAAAAATTCTACAAATATATATTTTTTCTTAAAGTAGTCGACCTTGAAGAGTAGCAAAACATAAACACCATTTGATCAAAAAACAAAAAGTGTATGCTTGCAAATTTAAAGTATATTATAACTCAATAATTATACAGAATCAGTTACCTCGATGGAAGTTCATACAACTTGTAACTTTGGTTTAAAGTTAACTGTGACAAAAATGTGGAAGACCATTCTTCAAAACCTAAAATCATAACAGAAACAATAATCATGTTTAAAAAAATAAAGCCTAGTCGATTACATGATGGGAGTGTACAAATAGCAAAAAACAACTTACCAGATACATGACAAAGTTGCTTTATAGAGTCTGCATATTTTGGGTTATCTTTCATTCTTCCATGAGGAATCGACTTCAGGAAGTTGATATTCATCCGACTTTAGGGCCAAAGCGAAATCAGGTAAAGTTGGCGATGTTTCCATGATTCTGTACTCATTTTTTTATTACATTAGTATGCATGTATGTATGTATGTATGTGTATGCATGTATGTTGGAAACATTGAAGTGGACTCAATTCAATACTTACTTTTCATAAGTGTATAAATCCCTATTGATCCTCACCTTGCTAGAAGTGTCTTTTGGAATCTTTTTAGAAAGATATTTCATAGTTCCCCAAAGAGGTGGAGTTCTGCATGAAATAATGTAAAAATCAAGATTCAAAATAACACAGAATTATTTGATATCAACAAATGTTATGAATGTTACATTAATAAACAGATAAAACAATCACACATTTCAGTATCATAAAACTTATTAGTCAATGATTCCTATTAAATAATTTGACTTTTGTGTATTAAATAATTTTATCATACATGTTTCCGAAAATTAAAAATTTGCTAAAGTGTGTCGAATATTTAAGAATCTATATCATTAACTATATTAAATATTTATTATCTAAGTAAACAAAAGGGTAAAATGGTAATTTGGATGTCTGCAGAAACATGACTTAATCCATTAAGCTGTATATATGGGCATCCATTTTTTATTTAATACAGAAAAATGAACTAATGGAACCAAAATTTTATAAAAGTAGCGAATGATACATTGAGACATCATCTCTAATCTGTATCCGTTGTTTTGGAAGATACAAACAAATGGTAATTATAATAATCATTCAAAGATGATTGAAAAAAGATTACTTCCAACTTAAAAACTATACTGCTACATAGTAAAAAGTCATGACTTCCTTTTTTTAGATCAATAATATCCAATTTTATATTTTGTGAATATACAGGAATGTTTAGATAAGGACATGTGATTTAAAGGTGGCGTTCTTATTGTTAAACCTAATAAGCCACAAATAATCATTTTGATAATCGAAAAAAAGGGAAAAAAGGGAAGTTTTTGGATAATTTTGGTTACCTCCACAATTAAATTCGTTACCACTTCGATATATGAATTTATTAGCTTCATTGACAATCTAGTTAAAGAAAAGTAATGACGAAAGTCAAAATGTTGAAAGATTTGGATGTGAATCTGTGATAAATTAGCATAGTGGAGAATAAAGATACATGCCTGATCAAAAGCAGGAAAACTGTAATCTGCAAATTGAATTTCTGCTATAGCTCGATTCCCCTGTTACAAAATTATTATTATATATAATAAGTAACTGTATGAAAAGATGCAGAAAAGGATTTTGGAGTACAGAATTTGAAGGAACTTACCATTGCTGGTAGACCAATACCAAATCCAACAATCCCCTGTTGTAAAAGAACGAATCTTAAATCAGAAACACCATTTTTTTAATTTGTAGTGATTGGCATATCATAAGATTCCCAATTATTTCAAGAAATGAAAGAGTTCATGACGATTTTTGTTGGTTTAAAAAGTCAAATTATGAGAGATTTTTTATCGATAAAATTACCTGTTCGCATAGAGGGGTGTTAAAAACCCTATGTTTACCAAATTGATCAGCCAATCCAGTTGTGCAACGGAAGACGCCACCAAAACCCACATCTTCCCCAAATATATAAGAACTGTGATTCCAAATGTGAAGTTTTAGTTCCCAATTTAGCTTAATCTGTTATGATATGGTAATAGAAATGAAATATCAGTTAAGAATCCATGCTAATTTTACAATTCCATTCGGAAGAGGGGATTCTATTAAACCTACATGGCCCACATGTGAAGAATCAGAAATATGAATCGAGTAATTAGGCAAAAATGATCATGCAACAAAATCGGAAAAAGGAAGGAATAATATATCCGGATTCAGACATAGTGTATTATAATTAAAGGAGGTAGCAAAAGTGAAAAGGTACCGAGGATCAGAATCTAAAGCTATTTGAAGTGCTTGATTGACTGCAGTGCAAAGGTTTATAGATTTCCCCGTTCCAGTTCCTGGTTGTTGCACCTGACCATCAACATAACTAAAATTAACATATGTTTGTTTAAATTAACATGTAATCGGAACTGAAATCCACAGTGAAATCAAATTAACATGCAAACTTAAGTCTTTAGTTGTATTAGATACAATAAATTGGTAGAAAAGTCGAAAATCAATAGAAACCATAGAACACATACTGAAATCAGATATTCACGGCGACATCAGAGAGAAATCGGAAATTCGAAATCCACAGCAACCAGTCTGAATCGATTGTGCGTTGGAACCGTCAATAGAGCGATGGTGGTGGTGAAAGTCGGTGGAGCGATGGTAGTGGTGAAATCCGGTAACTTACGCTGAAATACAACAAAGCCAACCCTGTGGTAAGTGGTTTTTGTTGGGTAGAAAGGTTGTGGGGTATAAGGGTAGGAAGGTTCGATGGAGAGAGCCATAGTGTCATAACTGTCTGATGGTGAGTGTGTGTGTTGTGTGAGCGTTTAACATCTACACACATGTGGTATAACGTAAGGCGTAAGGCCATGGATCAGGGTTTCTTCAGATTGAAGGATCGAGAAACGGGATTTGGTTCCCTAAAAGCATATTATCGACGTTGTTGGCAAATTCCTTCGTGGGAATAGAGAAATATACAGACAGAGATGTTGCTTTCTTTCAGTACTTTCTGCGATGGACTGCAACATGGACCAGCAGAGCTCGTTTTTATTTCCCCTTTTCTTCTTCACACTGGAATCAGAGGTCTCTTCCATGTCGATCTCCTCCAATGGAAAACAATTTCGTCATATATGAAGAATATTACATATTTTTGGATCTGAATAGAAACTATCAATTCTAGGGTTTCATGTTTACCTTGAAGATCATTCCATTAAAAAATCGGTGGTTCCTGCTGCTTAACTGGAGTAAAATCCGACCAGCACCGTCCTCTACCTAAGCGGGAGCGGGTCATACCTCAATACATGTTGTAGAAGAATGCGAACCGGACATAGAACACATAAATAGTGTAACAGTGAGATTGTTTGAGGCGGAGGCAGGCCGGTGGTGGTTTTCTGTAAGAAGCGGAGGCGAAACAGTAACAATGGAGAACCTGGGGAGACGATGAAGAAAGAGATGTGTATGAAGAGAGAGGTAAGGAAGAGAGAGGCGGTGGAAAATTCCAGAATGTCGCTAAGATAAACATCAACAAATCCGACGAACGATGAACGACACGTGTCCACAAAGAATACGGATATTGACATAAAACGACCCTAAAGACGATTTCAACACACATACATAAAGGGGGACCATTCTTGCCAAAAAACACTCCACTTCACTGTTACTTTTCTTCATAACTTTAATATATATATATAATAATAATAGATTTACAAACATTTTTTTTAATAAACGTAGATATTTTATCCATACCTGTATAATTGTTAATTTAAAATAGTTATGGAAAATGTTTTGAAGCTGTGAGCAATGCTCTTTATATCTATATTAATGAAAAAAATGGTTATTTTGTAACTGGTTTCTACTAGCTGCGGGCGTGTTCGGCAAAATTAACTGGTAGCGGGTAGCCGGGTAGCTTATAGTTTGTAGCGTTTTGTTAAACGCTACATGAAGTAGCATTTGGATTTGGAGCGTTTTGTTTAAACTAAACACTAGAAGCTTGTAGTGCCGAACGAGGTTTTCTATTCAAAACTGAGCGTTTTGTCAAACACTAGAAGCTCGAAGCTTTCAAACGCTCTCAAAAGCTCTGTGCCGAACACGCCATTTGTCTAGCCTTTTTATATTTATACATGTGGTAGTATTTAGGAGCATGGTTAATTTGTCGTTTCAAATTAATAATATTTTATGCATGGTAGCTGTTTTGCAATTGTTTTATAATTAATAATATTTTGTCTAGCCTTTTTATAATTAATAATATTTTAGTCTAATTAATAGTATTTTATGCATCAGTTTCGTTTTGCAATTTTCTAAATACATTTTCGGTTTGTATTGGTTATAACCCGACCTTTCTTTTAAAAATTGTCTTAAATAGATTCACGTTTCTAAATAAGAAAGCTATGTTCACTATTTGATATGGTTTTAGCACAAAAGGAAATAAGCATTGTGCATAAGAATATGAACACCAATAATGTGTTGTTTCCATGCATTTGTTTATTATAATATATTAATATATAAGCTAGAATATCAAAGAAAAAAAGAAGATATGGGTTTTAGACTAAAACATAATCCAAATAGTGTATACATGCATATTTTTGTCATACTTAGGATCCTAATAGTTCTTTATTTTTGGCTTTTAGCAATCATATATGGTAAAGCCATATAAGTTCGTAAATTTTTGCACCTGAAGCTAAAATACTAATGTTGCCATATTTTCGAATTACAATTATAGTCAATAAACTGAACAGTATGGAATTGTTGAAAATAAGGTTCTCACTATAAACAAAATGAACTTACAAAGGAGAGTAAGATGGAAATTCATACATTTAGCCCGGTAAATGTGTGAGTGTTGTAATAAAAAAGGATGAAAGTAAGATAGTATAATATACATCGTAATCAAGATTCAAGAGTAAATATATATTTTGAACCCTTTCCTTCCCTATCCTTTCTGATAAATGGCCACTTTCTTCAATATTTTGTGAACCTTGAAGCTGAAGTCTAAATTTTAGCAGCATTTGTAGATCTAGGATTATTAGCATTATTAGGTTATAGATAATCATCTTTGAACCAACAAAAATCATGCAACCAATCATCACTAACAAAGAGAATATACCTCCTCCCGCCCATATCTAGCCTTGCAAAATCTAGCCCATATATTTCTCTAAGTTAATTTTTCAGTACAGCTAAACTTCTTAGTGTAAAATTAACCTGGAAATAGGTTGACAAAAATCATGGTTAAATGTAATGAAAACAATGATTTAGTCATTTTTAATGAAGTTATATCACCGGTTGGGGGTCGGGACAAGTGAATGATATGTTAGCAACTGCAAATTTTCATCTACTAAGCATATGAAACAATTAGATCCACAACTTGTGTTTGACTTAGTGAGTTAATGATGAAAGCTTCCTTTTTGGGTGGTAGTTAATACTTATATGTAATCCGTGTGAGAAGTTCAATCATGCAATGTTCGTCTCTGCACAGGAGAGATAGAAGGAGGTAGTGATAGAGAGACCTACACATACTTCTAGATTGATAATGAAATATATCATAATTGACTCGTCCTCATCCTCATCTATCCTCATCTATCTGAACATGAATACAAAGATCATATAATGAGGAACCATTCATGGAGATGTAAAAAAAATTAACAAAACCAATTACATGAATACCAACTTTTAACATAAATTATATAAATATTAGAAACAAATACTCACATTCAGTAGGGGACAACAGAGAATCAAATAGTCCTGATTTCTAAATATGTATAACAAATTTGAAAACTATGAAAACCTCGTTGTAAAGCCATCTATAATAAACAAACAAATAAGGTCAGTTTTAAGGCTATAATTTGGTTGCTTTCTTCCATCACACTCAATATCGTGAATTAAACATACATAATGGAAGATGCATTATAAAGAAAAACATTTCAAACAAATGAAGCATAAACATTTCCAAGTTTATATATTTTAATTTATTGTGCAATTGCAAGCAAAGATGTACTTATATGGATTCAAGTAAGAAAGAATGCCAAAAAAAAAAAAAAACATTTGTCATTGAGAGAATTATGGATAAGCAAATGAGTGGTGGTGGAGAAAGCATAGCAACAAAACAGGGGAGCATAACATCTTGATCACCTGTTGAAATGCAAAACCTTTGTAATCATATAAAACAACAAAAGACTATATATATACTACCTGCAATTTATGTTTAATATGGTGTTGTCCGACTCGCCAAGAGGAAGTCGGGCGATTCCTTTTACCTTATCCACCTTTTTCTGCTTCAGTTTGACCGGTTTTTTTTTATCATAAACACAAAAAAAAAAGAACATATTAAAGCAAAGACTAACAGATAACTCATGTTCGAACTTGTCATATCGGAACCCTAGCTTCATTTAATCTAAATTCTACTGAAAAGAAGAAAAAACAACTTGAATCAATTTACCTTTCACATCTTCACTTTCTTATTGAGTTTCTTCCTCAATTTCGATCCCAGTGGCATGAAGGGTTCAAAGATCCGTGGACTATCAAAGGAAAGGGAGTGATTTATGGAAGAATGAAGAGTGATTTGCCAATATATATGCAATCAATTACGGGATTAAGAGGTGATGGGTTGTTATTTCTTGATTTATTGCAATCAAGTTCAAAATTTGAATTCAATCAATTTATAATCATATTTCTGATTTTATGGGATTAGGGTTTGATACTATACAAAGAAATCCGCTCATAACACATGTTTAGTTGTAGAGTTTGGGCGGGAAAAGGAATTGAAGAAGCATGACAAAGTGACACCTGGCAAAGTCTTGATTTATAAGAATGACATGTGGCATACAAGACACTCTTTTATTAGGATAGAGATATATATACTACCTGCAATTTATGTTTAATATGGTGTTGTCCGACTCGCCAAGAGGAAGTCGGGCGATTCCTTTTACCTTATCCACCTTTTTCTGCTTCAGTTTGACGGGTTTTTTTATCATAAACACAAAAAAGAACATATTAAAGCAAAGACTAACAGATAACTCATGTTCGAACTTGTCATATCGGAACCCTAGCTTCATTTAATCTAAATTCTACTGAAAAGAAGAAAAAACAACTTGAATCAATTTACCTTTCACATCTTCACTTTCTTATTGAGTTTCTTCCTCAATTTCGATCCCAGTGGCATGAAGGGTTCAAAGATCCGTGGACTATCAAAGGAAAGGGAGTGATTTATGGAAGAATGAAGAGTGATTTGCCGATATATATGCAATCAATTACGGGATTAAGAGGTGATGGGTTGTTATTTCTTGATTTATTGCAATCAAGTTCAAAATTTGAATTCAATCAATTTATAATCATATTTCTGATTTTATGGGATTAGGGTTTGATACTATACAAAGAAATCCGCTCATAACACATGTTTAGTTGTAGAGTTTGAGCGGGAAAAGGAATTGAAGAAACATGACAAAGTGACACCTGGCAAAGTCTTGATTTATAAGAATGACATGTGGCATACAAGACACTCTTTTATTAGGATAGAGATATATATACTACCTGCAATTTATGTTTAATATGGTGTTGTCCGACTCGCCAAGAGGAAGTCGGGCGATTCCTTTTACCTTATCCACCTTTTTCTGCTTCAGTTTGACGGGTTTTTTTATCATAAACACAAAAAAGAACATATTAAAGCAAAGACTAACAGATAACTCATGTTCGAACTTGTCATATCGGAACCCTAGCTTCATTTAATCTAAATTCCACTGAAAAGAAGAAAAAACAACTTGAATCAATTTACCTTTCACATCTTCACTTTCTT